TCCCATCAAGAAATAGCTTCACCTGCCCTGAAGTCCAGGCATTTCTGCATTGGAGGCGACTCATCACCTCGGAAGGAGGAAATAGTCCTTTTCCTAGACTTGTTAAGCTCTTGCTTCCCTGAGCACCTTGAGTACATTGAGCTCTTCTTCCAGCAGGAAGGCACCCAGTCTGCACAAATCTACACCTCTCCTCATGCATACCTGCATCTTCGCCTTGGGCGCTACTGTCCACTTTAGAAAGCATGATTAGCCTCACAAAATAGCCTCTTCCAAAGATTACCCATGGAAATACAATCACCCCTTCAAGGCCTGGACTAATCCATGTACATTTTAAAGTACGCATTACACAGAATTATAACTTTGTCACATCACGACTTGCTCTTCCTTCCAAGCCAGTGGTAAGGGAATCAAGCTGTGGGGCCACAATTTACCACACCACAAGCTGGCAAGTTCCTCGCTTGGTTTTCTTTCTTTCAGTCTGTTCCCGATCCAAGCCAGAACTTCATTTCTTGCCTCCACTGCTCACATTTCGTTAATGGCTCTTTCCAAAAAGCCTCGATGGAGTCAAGTAAATTACTTCTAGTTTCTTTCACCTATTATTTGCTAGTGTAGTCTTAGAGCTGTTGTAATTAAGAAGGCTTGATCCTATTATACCGAGTTAAATTAGGTGTTACTGAATTCTATTTAATTCCCTGCTGTCTTATGAAGAGATAGCATGAAGGACAGCAGCTGTGAGAACCCAGTTGTTGGCACAGACCTAAAGAGATCATCTTTAAATTGAAACAGAGTTTTCTAAGCTTTGCCTTTGCTTGGCAGATGAATGATGAGATAGTAACTGCCCAAATTTACAGCACAGCTTGAGTAGCGCTGATACCATCAAGATACTCACACGAAAGATGTTTGAGCTTGAGGGACATGTGGCTCTGACTAATGGGAAACAACCGTCAAAGCGGTCTTGGAAGGGCAGGTACCAGGAGAAGGGAGCATGTGCCAGCAGCATTGGAAGTACAACCACTCCAACTGAATGCAGGGTGGTACAATCCCAAGGGCTGGTAGAAGATCAAAAATTAAGGAGAAATTCTATTTATTGCTCCAGGAAATAAGATTTTATGGTGCACTGCACTGCACTGCAAAGAGGCAGCTCATTTTAATGAGATGATGGATCATTGTCAGCAACTCAACCAGTTTGTTTCTTCCACAGCTCCCAAGCGATCCTCCCTCTCCAGCAAGGTCTCATCTTTTCAGAACTGAGGTGCTCTCCTGTCAGTCTCATCAGTTGGTTGATGATGCATGATAATCTCTCAGCTCCCCTGCAATGCACTCTCTGGTTCTTAGAGGTTGAGCTTCTCTTACACTTCAAACTACCCCTTGGCATCCTTTCCTGACCGCTAGGACAGTTGTAGGGCATGTTGTAGGGCAGTATTTGTACCCTGCAAACTCATGTCTGCTCCTCTCCGCTTACACGTGCATTTCTGTTACTGAAGCTCTAGGCCCTGTGTGGAGTGCAAGTCCCCCAGCTCTGTGCAGGTTACTCAAAGGCAGGCAGGTGGCATTTTATTCTTGGGCCCTTGGGCAGAAGACAGGGTTATATCAAGGACAGTATTAGCACAGCGCACAGTACCGGGAAGTCGTTAATTGCTTGTATGGACCAACGTCGCCGGGCAGAGCGAGGAGACATCTGTGTGTGAAAACGTTATACCCAGGAAAAGGGAAGAAAGACACCAAGAAAATTAAAGACAGAGGTAAATAAACTGAAATTAAAAGTGCCCTGAACCAGCAGAGTAAAAGACACAGTTCCCAATGGTTCTGGTACACAACGAACAGTTGCAAACCATCTTTCACCCCACTTTCATCCGCACACAATTGTACTACACATTACCTATGGCCCTGGCAAAGCAAGGGCTGCTGTGTCTGTGCCTCACACCAGCCTCTGCAGAAGACTTCGGCAACCACCAATCTGAATAAAGTCTTTCAAAATCTGAATAGAGTCTTTCACATGGAGTTGTCTAACTGCAAGAAGCACTGAACTGCTTCATGTGGCCTTGTGCATGCCATGAACTGAGAGCAGAGCAGAGGACAACACCTTAGTGCCCCGCATGCCAGGCTCCTACTCTAACCAGTTTTACTCCTCTTGGCTGAAGAGGAGAGCAGATAAGTGCAAGCTGCATCATTTTTAACACAGCTGTCCAGTGCCATGGCACAGAAAACTGCAGGAAGCAAGATAAACAGATATCCCTTCAACATCCAGCATTCTCCAGGACTTCATTCACTGGAACCTGCTGTAACTGTTCACTTTCATTTTAAACAATAAAAGCCGCATGTCAGGGTATCAGAAGGGATGCAGAGACCCTGCTACTTGGCAGTGCCACGTGGAAATTGTCATTATGGGTTGAGAAACTCATTCAGGTTGAGTGAGCAATCAAATTCACTGATTGGCTATGCAGAATAGCTCCAAAGTAGGCTATCACTGCAAACTTGCAAACATCCCATTAAGTACTCAGTGCAGTATTATAGCAATAATAAATGGAATCTCTCAAAGCAAATCACTGTGCACTCACTTGAAAAAAAAAGTTTCTGTTCTAGTTCTGTAAGAGTCAACACAATAAAAAGGGTTATTTGTGTCATATACAATGTATTTTACATTTATTTCCAGCTGATGACAGGCAGTCAGGACCATCAGCCATGCCTTCAGCCTCTACCTTCCCTTGCACCTCGCTGCTGGGAGAACCCTGCAGTCAGGGGGCAGGGGCTGGCTGCAGGCCCCCTGAGAAACAGAGAGGAGAAGACAGGTTCCTCCACCTGGCCTCACTAGAGAAGAAGGAAAAGGGTTAGTTGGAAGAAATTTGGTACAGTGGACAGAACTAAAACTAAGCTCAGTCAATCCCCAAAGTCCTGCTCTCTTGTAGGCAGCCACTGCTGCCAGCCTAGTCCTGAGCAACGTGAGTCTGAGAGGTCTGCAACCAGGAAGGCACCAGGCAAAGCCTGAGGGGCGTCCTGAGAAGCAGCAGTTTCTAAGCTCTGCCAAATTCCCCAACGGGAAGCATGAGGACACTGCTGTTACCAGCTCTGTGTACAGCTCTCCCTCAGGCAAGGCTGAGCTGTCCCCAGGTCCACACTGGCGCGACCCTCTAACTGCAGGGAGAAAAACCACAGCCATGGCCTCTTCTTTAAGCAACATCCATGTTTGATGGCACTGATGGCAACTGCCACAGCACGGCTACAGCTTCTCCTTTCTGCTGACTGCTATCTTTAGGGGAGGGTTTCTGAGGAGTGAAAAAGAGGGAGGAAGAAAGGAGAAACGTGCACGTGTGAATAAAAAGTGAGCTAGACGTGTATATACACACACATATACCTGTGTGCTTGTGTGTGTACATTTAGATGAGCACAGAAAGCCTCAGTGCTAGCTTTAGCTTCATTTTGGTTTACTAAGGAGATCTCTGTTGGGTTCAGAATGCCTTTATGGGAACATGACATATTTCCTGTCTAGCAAAGGCCAAACTCCATTTGTTTGGTAATGGCAGCGATGCCAGCTGTAGTTACACAGGATTTAAACACCTCGTAATTGCTGACAAATTGAGTTTTGGGGCTCAAGTTACATAACATGAGAGTTTAACACAGAAAATGTCAATTTTTATTTAATGCAAATAGAAAATCCAAGCTTCAGAGCAAGCACCTAACTAGACTCAGTCTGGGCTTTTTAAAATCCTCACAATGAAATGACATAAAAACGTGTAGCGCTGATCTGATAGAGGCCGTGTCACCAACTCCTGAGGAGTCAGCAAAACTTTGTTGAAGGGAGATGCAGGGTTTTCGTTTTGTTTTTAAACTATTTGGTGTGCAAGAACATTTGAGCCAGCTCCCTCCTAGGGCCCTTACGCTTCCTCCAACCCAGCGTGCGAGGAGATCACTTGGCAGAGAGGAGGGTGGAGGAATTTTCTCTGCCTTTCAGCAGACGTGGCTACACACATGCTCTGTCCTCTTGACTTGTTCCCCTCTGACAAAAATCTTGTTGCCATCAGTACAAGGGCCAGGGAGGCAGGTCACATGAAATTTCACCAAGCCTCTTCCACATGTTATTTTAAGCCTTGTCTGTCATCTTAGAGAGCTGCGTGTCAGAGACAAGCACGCTGCAGAGGACAGAGGTAGCTGTTTAAATAAACTCTCCCGCAAAGACTAGAACAAGCTGTAATTCTTGATCCAGGCAGCACCATTTTCTCTTCTCAACAAAAAGAAGTTTGCGTGGGGAAAAAATAAACAGAACAGGGACTCCAGGAGTCTTCTGGGGTCTGTAGGGAAGCAATTCTTGCAATGGGGAAAGAGGCTCACCCTGCAGCTGGGAGGTGTAAGGACCAACTTGCATCACGTAAGCAGGACAGAGTCAGACGCCTCATCCAGGACTACTGGAAAGCTGAGACCTCTTTCGGTGCCCAGGAGGAACAAGAGCTCAAGGCTCTGACTTTCCCTCTGCTCCCGTGACAGGAGTTCCCAAGCTGCGCTGCAGCAGAGTGCAGACAGCTCCTGGCTTTCCTTGAGGTACCTGGAAGCTCTCCACTGCTGCAGCAGATGTGTACCCCCAACATGGCCAGTGGGCAAACTACCCAAACACCCTGAATTCTCAAGCTCCCAGTGGAAGCTTACCATGTTTTTGTAAGCCACTTCACCCCCTGCTGAAGCACAGAGAGTTTGTTTCTGAGCAAGCTGCACGGTCCATTACTCCCACAGCATCTGCTCTGGGCACACTGGGTGCTCAGCTGCTTCAGAACAACCCTAAGGCCGCCCTACACTTACCAACGGGGCTTCCTCACCCAGTGTATCCCAGAAGGAAACAATTCCACTCTCCTCCAAAGCTTTGCTTGTAAACAGCAGTGAAAGCAAGACCTACACCTAAACCAGAAGTATGTGGAGTAAAAGATACTTGGAGAATTATGTAGAAATTATTTTTGTTTAAAACAGTCCAAAGGGGCACATATTCCTGCAAGAGACATCTGTAACAGAAATAACCCAAATACAACCCATAATCCAGGAGAGGTTGTCAGTAAGCTGCAGAGAGTCACAACCCTTTGCAGTTACAGACATCAGGGAGTGCCGAGAAAGGCAGAGTTGCCTATATGGACTTATCTGGAGACCACAGCTTCTTAAGCGTGAGATTTTAACCCTGTGTAATGCAAAGGGAAACAGGAAGCTGTGATGGTCAGTGTACAGAGATATAAAAATAAGCAGGCAAAATGCTAGAGAGGATCATTGAAGAAGTTACTAACAGGAGGTAAATCCACGTGACATTTTTACAGAGCTGCCTGTAAAAAGGTGCTTTCTTGAGAGGAATATGAAGCTTCTGTTACCAGCAATGCTCACAGCTATATGAAAAGAATACAGGGCATAAAAGCTGAAGTGTTTGGAAAGGCTTTTTGGTCTGGTACTTACCCTCTCTTTGTAGTAGAAGGAGCTAATGGAGACCTGCTCCTTCTCGCTGCGTGTTGGGCTCCCACTGTACAAACGCAGATTGCCTGGAGTCTCTGTGCGGATCTTCATTGGAGTAATGAGGCCGCTGTGGTACGCTGATAAAGCTGACAGGGACCTAGAAACGAGAAAAAACACTTTCAGGAGCTTACACACACCAAATTGCCCTGGAGGCTCACACAGACATCGTTTCAGGTGATTTGAAAGGAGTCTCTGCTGAGGGCCAGTGATACAAGGGACCAGGCTCCTTGTGTCAAAGGCACAGCTAACACTAGAGGTCAGTAGCTTCAGTGTAGGATCTGCATTCTCCTGCTTTCCTGCCCGAGACAGCAGCACACCTCAAATGCGACGCAGGGTACTCACCTGGGGGTGGGCTCTGTCGGGGACACCGCACGGTGCATGGTCATGGGTCTCGTGAAGTACACCAGGTACCCTGAAGAGACAGGACACAGCATAAAGATCACACAAGGAGGAGTGGATCACCCAGGAGTGCTTTACACAGGGAAACCTGCTCATTTACGGTATCAGAGTCAGGGGGCCTATCCACTACCCTGAGCACTTTTAAGCTACAAGTAGACTAGTTTTTTTGAACCCGAATCCACTCCCTGCAAACCCATTAAAGAGCACGTTTTGTTGAGACGATTGTCTTAAAAGCATCAAAACTCAAGGGGCCTACAGGTGTCAGAGAAATGATAGTAAAAGAAAATAAGAAAACAGATACTCATGTTTTAACTCTCCACCAGAACCTGTCAAGCACTGATTCTCCAGAGGCAAGGGAGGTGATGTTTGGCTATGCAGAGAAACCAGTGCAGCTTGCACAACTCTCCTCTTCAAAAGGATAACCCCAGCCATCTGAAGCCAACTCCAGACCACTCTCTCACAAGTCTTATCCCATTTGTTAGCATCTCGAGTGTCTTCAGCCACCCGCTCTTGCACGAGTTTCAGGACCCAGCAGGTTTCACTGAGCCTATTCAATGCAATTCTATTCTGTTTCACTTTTGCTGGGAATTCAGTGAGGTCTGTATGAAAAGCAGCTTTTCAAAACATGCTCAAATTGCATTGCAGTCAGGTCTGGAGGAGGCATGGTTGCATCTGAAACAGCTCAGTGAAATTTAACAGCTCTTACTCAGACCTTAACCTGTTTTTAAGGATGTTCTTTGCACTGTGCACTCTCCTTGAAACCTGGACATGATTGCACCCCATCTCCCATTTAGAGGTTTCCCAGTGACTTTAGGAAAGCTATTTTGGACAAGAGAAAGGTTGCAGAATGAGAAAAGAGTGGTTAGTAACAAGAATATGGCTTCAGCAAGGGCTAAGTTCGACTACAAATCAGGAATTTTGTGAAGACTGAGCACCACCAGAACACGTTCAGCAGTTTGATGCTGGTAGGAGAGAACTAGGCAAGGATAAAGGCTATCATCAGTCTTCTGTAAAAGAGAGGTCTGTCAATGCCTCTGGCATGCCACAAGCCAATCTCTTCAGCTAGACCTGGATTTCCAAATATTAAAACCCCACATACACCACCAACTGCAAACAGTTGCTAACTAGTCTCACTACCTATAAATTTATCCCAGCGTTGCTACTTCAATACCGTTTCTTACTCATCGCACGGCAGTGACCATAGCCTCGTCTCGTTCCCCAAGACATTAAGAGGACCATCCCCCAGGTAGCTGTTGTAACGTTATCAGCGATGGGGCTAACCTGCACCACAGAACCTGGCTCCAGAGGTCCGTGGAAATGGGATGTTAGAGTCCTGGTAGGAGCCATAGGCATTGGAGACCCGGGCGAACGTGGGCAAGGGGGCTGTTACGGAGTTTGACAAAGCGTAGGGATTGCTGGATGTGCTGTCCTCTTGGTTCTGAAACAGAAGTTACCCAAGGTCACACTCCTGCTGCCACAGGAAGGAAACCCAGCTGGGGCACTGGACATTGCCAAGCAGCCTCATGGAAGGTGCTCGTCCTTTGAGCCAGACCAGATCAAGCACAGAGCACGATTACTGCTCTGGCTGCAAAGGCACTTGCAAGCACATTTACCTTTGAGGAAAGGGCTTCTCTGGCTGCCTGTCCAGAGATTTCTCTCCCACCACAGCCGTGTTGAAATGGCTTAACTTGGGGTGAAACAGTGGGAAACTATACAGAAAATCTGACCTTCATACTCTGGATATGATTCTCAACACAGGGAGCTGAGCTAAACCCGATACCTCAATGATGTGAGACAAAGCCTCCTTAAACAGGAACGCCACACAACTGCGGGGTCAAATGCAGGTTGGGAGTCTTGAAGTGAGGAAGGCACGTGGTGTGAAGTACTGGGGGATCTCAGGCCTATCCATAGGATTTTGGGCAGAAATCTGCGTTTAGTTGGATAAAGAGCACTACAGCTTAGGTTTAAAGGAATTCTTTAAAGGCAGCAGCGCCTGGCTTGAGTCATCAGGAGAAAGTTCCCACTCTTACAACATTACTACTGAAACCAAACAGAATTAAGCCTTTCCATGTGAAAAAAAAAAAGCAGCCCTTTATTTGTGATGAATAAACAAAACCTCTTGGAAAAGAAACCTGAGGAGACTCTCCAATCTTTTCCTGAATGCAAAAAACACCCACTCTGGTACACTTCACCCACACACAGACCTAATACCTGACACTGGGATGCTGAGCAGGTATCGCAGATCTCAGCTAAGGGCAGAGTGTGACTTGGATTTATCTGCAGTATCAGCTCTACAAAACCTGAGCACAAGGCTGCAGAAAAAGCAGACTTTCACAGCTTTTTCCTTTTTTTTTTAAAGGGAAGAAAACAACGACCCTAGAATAGGACTAGCAGGATCTCTGACTAGAGCCGAGGAGGTAAAGACATCTGCCACTGCCTTTCAGACAAGAATGAATCCATCAGCTCCCTGAGGCCTCTTATCTTCTCTCACAGACGATAACCATGCCCTGGCACTCAATGCGATATACTCAGAGGTGGAAAGCTACCATGCACCACTAAGATGCTCCAACCCCCTGTCATATGAATATCGGTGAGCATGCAGAGTTTCCCAATGCAGCAAACCTTCAGGACCCTACTTCCAGAAACAAAACACATCTAATCATCCACGCAGTTTCCTCCAACATTAATCAGAAATGCTTACACAAGTGTAGTAACAGCCAGTCACAGGGGTCTATTTACATGTCTAATGAGGCCAGACTCTTCCTGCAGAGTCAGAAGTGTGGGACATGGGAGAAGACAACAAACTAGAGCAGAAAACCCATGCAGTCCTCCATACCACAACAGACTCCAGCCAGGAGACAAGCTGGCGCAGGCAGGGCTCCAGGCAGCTCTGGTTCCGCTTCACTTTCTGCAGAGAAGTGTCTTTCAATATCTGCAATACATAAAAGATGCAGCTTGAATCATGGTTACATCCACACCTTCCCCACATCATTTCTTTTGTCTGCAGAGCAGCTAAGGTGTCAGAATCTCCAGAGATGCCAAAGACATCCCATAACCTCCACTGGAGCCACGCTGACCCGCTGGTGTGGTGTTTGTTTTGAGAAACGACTGTGAGCTTCAGTCAGAGCACTGAGGATTCACCAAGATTCAGCACACTCCGAACCAGGATTTGGGCTTCTATACTGCTGTAGCTCACACGTTCCATACCAGTTTGTGGCAAACTGAATCAGGTTTTTTTTTTTCAGGAAGGAACCCAAATTGACCCATCTGCCTCCTGCTGGGGAAGAGATTTCATCAGCAACAGAACTTCCTACACCAGATGATCAAACACCTGGTCTGAAATTAGCAGGGCCCGTGTGAAAAGTTCCCTCTATTTTAATACAGTTTGTGGAGGAGAGCAGGAAGCAACGTCCCAGCTCAAATATATTATCTTTCTGCAGCTGGATGCTTAGCTGGCCATTTTGTCTATTATGGAGCTGGGGGCAACTGCACGAGGATGCTAGGGATCGTCACACAATGTACCTCACACAGAAATACAGCAGTGTAGAACACGTGTTCCAAAAGCACCACTGGAGAAAGGCAAATACGGGGCTGTAAGCCCAAAAACCCCTCATCCTAGGAGGTCCACAATGTCCAAAGCAACAACTGGTATGTCTTCAGCAAGGTCAGATGTTTTATTGCGTCATCTAGACATCAAGTATCCAGCATTTGTATACTCCTAAAGGCAACACACACTCCCCACAAACCTTCAGCAGCTTTGCCTTCATGGAGGCAGTGATCGAGGTCGGGTTGATGAACTGGAAGGACGGTGCAGCATTATTGGGATACTGGACAGGGAACATCACCAGCATCCTGACTCTGTGGTTGCCGCAGTGCACCGACACCGTACAGCTACGACTCACCGCATCCATCTGCGTGAGGAAAAGCAATTGCTCTGTAGTTACATCTCCAAGTACCTTTAAAATTACAGTGGCTTACCACTGCCTCAGAAAACTACATCAGGACCTGCCACAAGCTGTGAAACCACAGGGGTGGGGAAAGGAGACAGGCAGCTCCCATCCCAGTACAGTGCTGTGCCTCCAGCCAGCTTCCATGCACAGAGAAAGGTTTGGCATGCAAGGGAGATGCCAAAACTGAGGGAGAGAGTGCAGGATATGGAGGACTCAGCAGATCTGGCTCAGAAAGAGCTGAAATGAGATTGGCTGCGTGTAGTGGAACAAGTCACTTTCAACTCTGCAATCCAGGCAGAGAGGAAAACACTGTGCAGCCTTCTCGGGACCAGCCAGTGTATTTACTGTGCTGAAACACTTCCCTCACTCCCAGTGTCTGGGATCATCCTCCTTCCTCCTGCCCCTGGCCAAGAGGACCTCTACAGCTCACAATAAACCGTGTTTACAGACAGCAGTCACTGCAGCAAAGAAGGTTCCCTTCTAAAGGCTCTGATGAGCCAGCCTGCCCACAACAAGCCAGCAAACTACTTACCTCCACGTTGACATTGCGGATCTGCACGTTGATCAGCGAAAACTCCTGCTGCAGTGTTTGAGGCAGCCCCAATTGGTCCGCTTTCTTTCCCACCAGGGGGTCATTCAGGAAATCTTCTTTTAAGGCTGATAGGAAAGATGGAGAACAGGTTGAGACAAGCTATAATAGGCAGACTTCTGGCCCACGATGCCAGGAAGCAGCCAAGACAGCAAGTTTTCCTCTGCTTTTTGGACACATAGAGGTATGAGTTTTAGCTGGCAGAGGCCTGCAAGCTGGAGGGTCTCAGCTGTTGTTTAAAGGCAGGCTTCTGAGCCCTGCTCTTCAAAAAACCAAACTTATCTGCACACAGGTTTCCCAGGAAGGTTGCAGAACTTGCCTGTACTCTGTACAGCCCTAAATGCTCTGTCTCTACTCTTTTCAGACCCCTTCTTCTCCCTGTACAGCACCGCCAGAGTCACAAACAGCTGAACTGGAGCCTCTTGGTTTTGCCACAGCAATCTCCCTCCAGGAGGAGCTCTGGTCTTTGGGACTCACACCCTCATACTCTTGGCCTTCAGGGAATGCTTCCAAAGTATAATAAGGCTTTGGGAGAGAGAAGAGGGTATTTCTGGCCCTATGAAAGGCTTAATTCATTTGCAGTAGCGTTTGCATTTAACGTTGCAAAGCACTCTAGTGCTTTAATGGTCCTTAAAGAATCATCTAAATGCTGGGTCTTGCCATCCAGTTCCACCGCCAGCAGTTTTCAGGAGGACAATAACCCCTGAAGGTCAGAATACTTCGAAACAGCACGGCAAGAGCTGCAGGACACAAGGAATTATGGTTATGATAGCAAACTTGACTGAGTTTCAGAAGAATTGGTCTCTGCCTGTGGTCGTGTCTGGCTTTTGCCTCAACTCTTGCTACGAACCCCCATTAGGGCAGAGGCCGCTCTTTCTGAAGGGGGCTTTGATGTGGCACCACTTCCTAAGAAGACCAAATGCATTTTTGGATGATGGCTCCAAGGACACAAGGGAAGCCCCAATTATTCAGCTGCCATTCTCACGCTTGAAATATCATATTCCACAAACTATTCCTAGCAAAAAAAAAAATAAATTAAAAGGAATGCACAAAGCTTTCCTTTTACAGGCATTTGCCTGAAAGTTACTGACTTTGCTACCAGGACAGATATACCTGGTTTTACTGCTGCCCAGCGGGTTGCTGAATTTGGATAGGTATGATGCTCAGCTACTTATTCCTGTTTGCAGTTTTATTATAGTGCTTAGATATACTTCACAAAGGGAGCTGAAAAGGGGATTAAAGGAAGATCAGTGGCTCTCAGGGAAGATCATTATTTCTAGCTCAAAACACCACACAGCTTACTGAGAAAGCCATCTCTGAGGTTCCCAATATGAGCAGTGCCCTCCTTTTGTCTTCTCCTTCCATTCCCTTCCAATTAGCTTCTAATCCCCAAAAGCCCACATATTTGTCTAGATTCCTGAAGATCCTTTATAGGCAGCAGCCAGTGAGGAGAGCTGTACACTGAAAACACAGCTGGTGAGCTTTCTGATTGATCTGCAGAGCGCCGTTCTCTTCAAAGATCCCCCAAAGTGCTTTACTAATCTAACATGGAGACTCTGTCTGCAGCTGAAATGCAGCCACCTCCAAGGCGAAACATCAGCAGACCACAATAGCTTTTAGGGTAGAAAGAATTGAAATTCCTACCTAGGGAGTTGCTTGAGCATTGATCCTGCAGTCACGGTATTTGCAGCAAAATCTACCCTGCTACAGAAAAGCCATTTTCATTCCCTTTGGCCACAAGGGAAACCTTAACAGTCTGAACCAAAGCCAGATCCACACAGAAACCACACGAACGTGTATGAACGTGACCTCAGCGGGAACAGTGAAAGAGTTAACTCTCTCCTGTGGAAAACGAGGTCGGGCAGCCAGAATGAGAACACTCAATGCTCCCAGCTGGAGCAAGAGAGGCTGTGCTTCCCCACACAGCACTGCTCTTGGTGAGCACACGTAACCAGGGCTCTTTCGAATGTACTGGAAAACCCTCATGTAGACAGCAGTGCTGGCAACTTCTAGAAACTTGTTCTGCTGCCACAGAGGACAGGTGGCAGAGAGGAACTTCACTGAGATTTGCTGGGCAGGAAACTTCTAGTTAGGAAGAGATGGCTTCCCTAAGGGACCTCGCAGCCAGCTCCTTTTTTCAGAGGACACCTATCAGACCACTTCCTACCCTTCTCTCCAGTTTGTTGGCAAGTCAAAGGGAGAATCAAATTGCTTTCCTGTAAGCTCCTCACACGGAGTCCATTGTAGCACCCTGCTACAAGACAGAAAAGAACTGTGTATTAAAACCTGAGTTAACACGACGGCAAGGGAGCACCCAATTCTTCTTCCTCAATATCAGAAATAGAAACCTGTTTGGACAGCTTTGTCACATGCACATCATCGACATGGGTCTCAGCTGCTGCGATCTCTTCTATTCTGGTACTTCAAACACTAAGACTCTAAATGTTTAACCTGGCCAGAGCCTTAACCACACAAACCCTCCTTTACATGCTTTCCTCGTTTGCCTTCTCTTCCACAAAGCCAAATCGACGTTTTCCATTAAAGCCTCTGACCCATTCCTATCCACCCATCTGGTACTCTGAACTGAGATCCCATCCCTCCCTCTCTGCTCTGCCTTTACCCACTCTATATCAGGACGTGATGAAGACAAACGCACAAGCTGTCTCCATACTATGTCTCATGGACGGGAGAAGACATCAGCAAGCACCTCCACGTTAAAGCATGCTCACGCAGTGACCCCCAGTGTTTAGGTACCACGTGCCATGTAAGCAGTTTGAGCCTTACCGATATGCTCCCCTCTTCTGTGGGATCATCTCTCAGCTTAAACTGAACTACCCTCTTAAGAGCCAGAACTGACTTTCCAACTACCTTATTTCTGGCAGGAAATCACTACTGTAACATAAAGACAACTCAATTAAATGCTACTAGTGACAAAGGGCTCTGTTTTACAGCTAGAATGACATCACTGTGTTAGGGGAGAAAAAAATTGGTTGGACCATCCTGAGAAACCCCTAGTGTCGGAGAATCCATTAATCTTTGAAACAGCACCAGTCTGTGCTTTGCCTATGAAGTTGTTTTCTTATACCAAGATGCATCATCTTCCCAACACACAAACACCTTGTGTTGGAAGTTCCATGACCCATCGCTTGTCTCACCTTCCTCATCCCCATGCCCAGAGTTATGCTGGGGCTCAGAGTCCTGGGGGTGAAGGGTCTTGTCTGGCTCTGGCAGATGAGAAATCCCATCGATGAGATCCTCGACTCCATCCAGGATATCGTTAGCGCACAGCTGGAAAGGACAAACACACCCACACGCTACAGAACAGAAACCAAGATGTCGAAAGAGCCACCACTAAACAATTCATTTCTCCAGGGAGCTGGATTTGCAGGGTAGATCTGACCACACAATGTCATGACTAAGAGCTCAGCACTGTTTCTGTGACAAACACAGGTGATCTTCCACTTTCTAGCATCTTCAGCTCGGTCACCTCAGACAGCCTGGCCAAATCTCCTGCTCACATACAATGCCACTTAATTAACATGGCTAGTCTAAGGAACAGAAGTTTTACTTAAACCAAAACTAAAACTGATATAACTTTAATTTCTGGAATTAATTTGTTAAAAATGGTTTCATTTTTCAGACTGGATACAGTAGTAGCACACTCTCTGTTTTTGATATTTACACACCAGTAGGATCTAGAGAACCAAGGGCCCTAGAGATCTAGATCCTGTACCAAAAATAGACCATGAAAACTTGTATTTTAAGTTCAGCACAAGAAAACAGGGAAGATGAAGAGACGAAACACAGGGAGGAGAAAGGATAAGGGTGCACTGTAGCAACTTACAGCATTGGTCACCAGTAACATGCCATCATTTGAACAGTTTGATCGAAGCAAAGACAAGGACAAAAGAGTGGGAGCCAGCAGAGGAAAAGTAAAGTAAAAAAATGGATGAACAATTGGTTTAAAGACAGGAAAGAAATAAAATATTCATATCAGGTAGGAGTAAAGGGTCATTTTTCACAGAGGTTTGTTACAGACCTGCAGGACTCTTGCAGGACCTGTGCTGGGAACGCATGCTTCTCAACATATTCATTAAAAGCCTGGAATAGGAGGTGAATAGCAACATGACCAGGTTTGCTGATGCCACCAAGTTATTAAGGAGAGTAACAAGGGTGGCTGACTGCAAACAATCACGTAACGACCTTACAGGAGTAACTGTGTTAAAATGAAAGATGGACTTCAGATAAATATAAAGCAATGCATACAGGGGAAAACTGGCAAGTCCAAGCTGACTGAGGGAACAAGATGTAGAGGCCAGACGAAGCTGATGTTTTCATGGAATTATGCCCAACAATTTCAAAAACAAAATGAGTACTGGGAATTCTTTGGAAGGAACAAAGCTCAGATCCCCATACAGTAGAACTGAAAAAGGGTTGTGAAAGACAAAAGGACAAAGTTCCCATACAAGGGATGAAGTAAATCAAGACCTTTTGACTTGAAAAAGGAGTCAGCTGAGGAGGGATGTGACGGAGAGCTACAGAATCATGAGTAGCACGGACAAGAAGGCTGCTCATTTAACCTTCAAGGTAATGAAACCAGCAGGTTGCAAAACAAACATATGAAAGGAGCTGATCTTCCACGCAACATGCGGAAAAACCATGAAACTCTTTCTTCATAGGATAGTTAAGATGACAGAAAGTTACACAGGTCCAAGAAAAGACAGAACAAGTCTACGGAAGTAAAACTCTTCAAGCTCTGTCAAATACAAAAAGACACCAAGCTCAATGAGCCTCTAAGCTGCAAACTGGACTCTGAAATGCCAAGAAAGAGTCATAGTCTTACAGCCATGGAGGTGGCATCTTCAGAGGCAACACAGGCATAAACTGATCTCCACCTTTGCCAAACGACTTCTGCACTTACTGTCACACAACAAAGCGGCCTTGCACTTCCACAGAAGCTTCTGAGGCACAGAGAGGCCTCATCACAAGTCTCCCTGGGGATGTTTCTGGGCTGGAACTGAACATGAAGTGAAGTGGCGGCTGGCTGCTGTGTCTGCAGCTCTAGGATACCAGAAGAAAGACTGGGTCACAATTCAAGAGCAAAAGCATTTACGTACCCTCTGCAGCTGCGAGTCAATCCGCCACATCCGCAGAGTCTGATCACGGGACCACGTAACCAGCTGGTAGTCTTTAGAACCTAAAAAGGAGAGAAACAACTTACAGACCCCACCAAAACCAGGGACTATCTCAGCCCTGCGTTTAGTGTAAACAGATTCAAGCAAGCCAGCTTGAGACCCAGTGCATAAAGTACTAAACTAAAGGCAGAACGAGTCCTGTTCCACTTTGAACTGACCTAGGTGCACCAGCCTTTATGCCTGCCCGCACCACATTACCACACCTCTATATGGGGTATAATTTACAAACAAAAAGCACAAGGTAAGTATAACGACTGTGATTTGAGTTTTCCAACTACAAATGAACAAGCTCTACTACACCACTTAAGCAGAAGAAACAGTAGTAGCTTAAAAATTGATTTATGTTTACAATAACTGTAAAATCAAAGTATCTTTTAGTTCATCATATATTTTAAGATGCCTATGTTTTAAAACATTTCTAAGCTAAGAGAAGCTGGTTCTACCCTCTCCCCTTTTCCTCCCAAGACTTGGATGATGCCAAGACAAATGCAGGTTGTAATGAAATACGTCTAGCCACACACTATCTGTCAACAGATAAAGGTACACAGACTTATTTATGGCCATGCTTAGGCCTTGTGATACAGTTTAAGTTGCCCTTGTCAAACAGCTGCTGCGTTTAGGAATTTGCTGCTGCACAGCTGCTTCCTACGCCCCTCTGCTGAGGCACAGCGGCTGTCTAAATACAGCACTGCAGACTCTGTGGAAGGACATCTGTGCTGTCTTGGTTGTCTCTACATTGAAGGAGACTTGGAATGCTTGTGTGTGATTGATTTACGTTGCTTGAGACAAGCACGACTTCCAGCCTTGGATAAGTATCCATTAACTCAGCTAAGACAACACAACTGCAGGGTTGAATGTTCATACACAAGCTGTCTTAAATTGTGCCTCCAGATCCTAACACGGTTCCATGTTGCTTTTTTTTCTTGAAAGAGGAAAAGCAAATTGCAGAGAAGGTGACTTAACTGAACTGCTCCAGCAGCTGGTGTCAGAGGGCTGGACCAGAACTTTTACACGGCACCGCAAAGCAGTACCACAAGTGACACCATGGCCAGAAGTGCTCGTTGTGTCGATGGCAGCTGAGGTGCTGGGAACAAAGCTGTGCTCTGTGTGGTTATCCAACTTCTAATATGGAATCTCCTAAATTTAGCTGCCTACTCTGGAAAATTTAGTCAGGATTGAACTCTAATAGCAGCCTCTCTATCCCACGCTCTCCCTCCCCTGCCTCTGCCAGCACACAGATAAGGTGTGTTCACTGGTTTTGTGGTCTGGAATATGCTGGAGGCTGCTGATTCAGGCAGAGATGTGAGGGGTTAACTGGTTAGCCTGCAGCTCTGAGCAGGGGGAGGGTGCCTGCACACATGCACCCATCTAATAGTTTGCACAATTTATTCTGAAAGATCCATTTAAAAATAGACTTACAGGAGAGAGGAAGCTATTAGAGTCACCACTGACCCACTCAGCATTCAGTGGATTTGCTTTGTTAGCATGGAAACAACAGAGCAATGCTTCTGTGGGCAGTGCCATAAAACAAGTATAAAACAGCTGTAGCCTGAGGGGGAGGTGGGTAGGAGATGGAGTAGGAGCTACTCCAAGGAAAGGCCAGAGTCAAATGGCAAAAGCATAAGCATTGCAGCCAGGAGCCATACCCCCACACCCTGGGTGGCCGATGGCCACAGCGCAGAGGAAAGAGCACATCCATCCCCGAACTCACCTTCCTTCTGCTTCCTCCACTGAAACTCCAGCACCACGTCGTCATGTCCCACGAAAGTGTGGACAGGCGTGTTCAAGTCAAAGACATTCCAGAGAAGAAGACTGTTCTCCCGACGGAGCTGGGGAACCATCACTGTCACCAGCCCATTGCTGAAAGGCTTGAGAGAGAAACACCTTTCCAGTTAGCCTTGGGGAGTTATAGTCCCATGCTGCTGTTATAATGATCTAATTTTTTCCTTTTCCTACCAAGAACGTGTGGGTTTTAAAGGAACTCAGCACAAAACAGAACCAGGCCTAAAACTGGGAGGGTCCAAGGCAATTGCAAAAACAGTGTCTTAAAAGGGATAAGATGCAGTACACCAAGATATCCAATGCAACTCACTTAAGATTAATAATGCCTTTCTGGTGCTCTCTCACTTATCAGCTGTGAAGCCAGAGGGATTTCACCCTTGACTTTTCACATGGGATCCTTATGGCAATTTGCCTGGAGCTGCAAGAACCGCAGCCTGGGGACTGAGCCCCAGCAGCTGCTCAGGGTCACGACACTCAGAACCCAGTCCTACACCCCCCACCATGAAGACAGGGAAAGGGGATCAAAGATGCAAGGCACAGCACTGGCTTCAGGCCACATTCAGATGTCTGGGGAAGAGAACGGATATGACTGATCTTAAAAGCCTTTGCTTCACATGGCTGGGTGTTTGCTCTATAAGAGGCAACAGTTCTTGGATTTGATATGCTGTGAGAGCCCATTATGGCACATTTGGAAACCCTGGAAGTAGAAGAGGCACTCGGGCAGAAGACCTCCACGTTGCTCTGTGCAATAGGTAGCAATATGAGAGCTGAGTGGAAAAACAGGACAGTGAGAGCAGCAGCCACTCTGTGAGCCTCCTGCTCCCAGAGCCAACCACCTGCATCTGGGTTTTTGCCTTCCAGAAGGATGGTGCCAAAGACTGGAATCTCACACTGCAAGTCATTCCTTCTCCTGAGTGCCCCCAGTGCAGACATTGCTTTTCTGGGCCTTTTAAGCACCAAAAGGGATTTTTAAAATCAACTCAATCATAACCAGCAGTAAAACTAGTGAGAAGCCCATCAGCCATTCTTCTTTATTTAATATCTCTTCATGCATTTGCTCTCACAGCACAAGTAGGGCTGGTAGGAGTTGCTCACTCACCGTGTATCTTGCCTTCCAGACAGGAACCTGGCAGGGAAGGATATTGAGGTACTTCCGAGGCTGACGGTAATCCCAGAACTTAAAAGAAAAAACACAAACCCAAAAGACAAGCAAAGGCAAGAGTCAGCTGGCTGTACTTTCAGGCTGCAGTTTACCGTGTGGCTTGCAGATATAACAGAGCAGAAAACATGCCAGGGTGCCCACAGCATCATTAGTAACTCCATTCATTAACAGCAGAAACGGCCCCAAAGGACAAATATCAAGCTATCAGCATCTGGCAGCATCCTGTAGACAACGAGCGACTTGGGGTCATATTCACAGTGATCATAGCTTGAGTAATTAGAGCGGGGAGACAAGCGGCCTGTTTGGACTTTCAGAGTTACAAGGCACCCTGCAGGCTCCCAGCCAATGTGACAGAGCAGGCTGGAGGCAGGCCCACCCTGCTGTTACTGCTAATTTCGTAATGAAGAATCTAACCTTTTGCTCTGCTAGAACACACATCAATTGCATTTGCCTTAGAGCTTAGCTAAATGTGAATGAATTCCATTTGGCTGACACATAAAGCACACTATTCCCCCTCAAGTAAAAGGCCCTGCATAGCAATGCTTGCAGGCAGTCTCTTATTGATAACCCAATTCAACATGAACTTGGGAATCCCAGGAGCTGAAGTACATCTCCCCCCAAGCTGCTGTAATCCGCTTGAGGCTGGTAACACTGCAATTTGGGGAGAAGGCTCTTCTGGCATGCGTGGCCAGCTCCCTTCTGGCAAGCAACAGGCAGAGGCGGTTGTTTTCAGCTTCAGTACTGTCCAAACCACCACAGATATGTGGCAAACATATGTGCACCCATCCTGTAATGATTTTTTTGCCTGTTCTGTAAACACACCCCTGGCTCAACACACACAGGCTGCCAGAAATTAAGCAACGAGGATCCAGATCTTGCCAACGGCAAGCACCCCCCGAGGTTTCAGCAGCAGTACGAGCAGATCTGCTCCACCATCCTGACATCGCCCAAGCGGAAGTCCCAGAAGCAACACTTACCCTGACAGAGTTGTCCTGGCTGGAAGTGGCCAGCGTATATTCGTTGTCAGGATGCCAATCCAGACCGTGGATTTTAGAGAGATGAGCTGCCAAGTACTCTACTGCAGTGCTGGGTTTCTGCAAGGAGAGACATTTTCCTCCTCAGCACGGGGTTCCTGAAATTTGGTCTAGTTCTTTAGCATAAAAATTGACACTTTAACAAGGGCAGGAGAGGTAGAACACTCTCCTGCTGGGGGAAGGCAAAAAGCTCAGCAGAAGTGGTTGAAGGAAAGGTCCTGTGAAGGTGTGGCAAATTCCAGTCACTGAGTGCAGCCCCGAACCATACTTCACACTCAGTAAAACAGTCAAGTACTAGGAGACCAAAAGTAAAATGTTAATGAAGACAGTTTCTGGGGAAGGACACTATCTACACACTCTTCAGGCTTGTGGGCTCTCACATCTCTCTACTTTAAATCAACCCACAAGAGAGACTTGGGATGAAGTAGTACATTTTTCCCAGTATCTGTCTGTGACCAGAGGGGTGTCTGTATCAGGTAGGTGGCAATATGCACGGATTACTCAAAAACCCCACAGCTTACCCTTTTGTCCCATATTCGGACATCTCCATCGTGGCTTGTTGCTAAACAGTTGGCATTTTTCTTGTTCCATTTCACCTGGGAAGCTCCAGCTGCAGCATAAACAGAGCAGGTCAAAACAAGCAATTAAAAAGCAAATGGCACAGTAGAGCCTTGACCTGGGCTTAGAGTTTCCTTAGCACAGGAAAGGCAGTTCAGAGAAAGGATATCCCAGAAGCCAGCACGAAAGATGGCACAAAAATGATGAATTCCTGATTCCTCAGCACAGTGTTTGTGTACTTAGGACCACGAAGCAAGTGTTCCACTTACAGGTCTAGAGATCTTCATCGCAATTGCTAGCCACGGGCTGTACCTGATTAAAATACTCATGTCCACTAGCTTGGATGGAGCAACTTCCTTTGAAAAAGAACTGCAAGTTCATCACCTCTCTCCCAGATCCTTTCTGCTTCCATTCAAGTTTCTTCCGGGTGCTTAAGGATTGATTCGTTTGTCTCTACACTGTCTGATGTTATACAGGGAAGCAGTGTTATTGATCTATTATTAAAATACAGGTGTAGGAGAAGGCTGGAGCGCAGGTGGACCTTGAGCCTGGTCGGCTGGAGGCAGACTCACCGGGTAGACCGGAAGGCCCAACTGTCAAAATACACCAGAGAAGTCAAAGACATCAATGGCACTGTAAAGAAATGGATGATGGTCCACATATGATTATATGGGATATCATGAGGGACTCAGTCAAGGGCCTAAAATCAGAATATGGGCTGTTATTTCTAATAAGAAGCAGAAAACAGCTTAAGTTGATGTGGATATTCAGACAGTGCAAGAAAAATACAAGTTCTATTCATTCTTATTCTGCCAGTGTTTTCAATACATTTTAAGCTAGTGGAATGGTAAGGCCCATGAGAAAGCTAAACAGATCTCAGCCTGCTGCTATGCCTCACCTTCTGCTGCATGGTGAGCAGATTCATTCTGACAACCTGGCAAAAAAAAGCTAATCCAGGGGAAAAAAAGCTGCAAATAGGCTGCCAATTGTTTGATTTGATCCACTAAGTGAAGAGCACACAAACGTTTGGGCCAGCACTAAGCAGAATTGGGGATGGAAGGAAGGAAGCTTTCTGGGGAGCGAGCTGTTGGGCTGGCTCAGCCGACCTGTGAAACCTCAATCCAGGCACCAGAACCAAACGCTGCTTCTCTCTGGTTCAGTAAGGTTTTTGCATCGCTGTGATAGAGGTTTGCTGGCTGGGAGGGAAGGGAGAGTCGCTGCGGATGTGTAGCCTAAGGAGATCTAAGTAGCACAGCATAAGAGATACACGGTGCCGTAGTGCAGGGGACAGCAGCTCAGGAAAAGGACGTTTTGCTCGTCATCCATACTTTGTCCGGTTCCAACGCAGTCAGTGAGGAGTGACACACAGCACCTGCTGGCAGGCGCTATTACAGGCAGCTGGACAGTCACACTGCCAACAGCCGTGACAAGTGACTTTCCAGAGCAAGCACAGCCCAAAGAGTACCTTCATGTCACCGCTGCAGCTGCCTGCACGTTGAAGGTGCCCCAAGGAAGCAGATACACCTGGTTAATGCACCCAGCCCCTCAGTACATAACAGGGCAGGCTCACAGTCGGCAGCATTCAACACCACTGCCTGGGGTGCAGTTTAGTTTCTCAGCTGATTTAACCAAACATGAAAGGACATAGAGAAATTCCAGACAGACAACACAGGAAAAGCAGCACAAGAGGGTGGTTTCACAGGGAAGAAGCTACTCGTGTCTAGAAGGTACAAATGCCATGTGACCGTCCGCCGATTTTAGGACGGACAGTCCAAGCACCACCACTGCTCTTCACGCCTGAGAACCTCCAAGGTCTTCACATCCCTTCTGCATTCTGTGAGCTGGAGCCTCTCAGGCTGCTGCTACCCAGAACAACCACATGTGGTGGCACTTCCGTACTCCTCCCCGTTCAGCCATGGAGCACAAAAGGAGGGAGGAATAACAGCAGGGGCATAGGCTTGTTTAATGCCTACATCACATACACACGTCATACTTACCGACTGCAGAGAGGGAGACTGTAGGCTTCCTGGTGTCTCTGAAACACAACATGGCTAACGTGAGTACCCACAGCATAGCCCAGCAGGTCCAGCCTCCCCAGTGAGCTCCTTGCTATTCTAGGACTAGTTTTATTGCTGCCTCTTGGGAGCTAATGTGCCTTCTGCTTACCAAAGTACACATTAAACGAAATAAAGAGGTGGCCAGCTGGAAGACAACAGCTATTCTGGCTTGCTACCACATACAGCAGCAAGTTTAGGACATAGGATGGAGCTGAATGGGACTAGAGGAAGGAGAAGCAAATGCAAAGTGTGGCACGTTGCAATTCGGAAGGAAAGGGAACGCTGGCCTCAAAGCATTGCTGTAGGAAGCAACAAAACAGCCTTTCCCAGGAGGATTAAAAGGAAGAAACAGAGCTGTGGAAAAACTTGACAAAAGCTACTGATGTGTTTGTCAAGCCTTTGCAGACCCTGATTCAAGGCAGATGGGGCAGTGACTTCAGAGCAAAGACTTCATGTCTACCATACAACAACAAAATCAGTAGGAAATAAGCCCAGCTGCATGCAGACTCTGCACTGGCAGAAGTCAGTGCGGCACCATGACAACTCCCAGCAGCCAGGACACAGATCAAGGCAATAATGTGCCTTTTGACCTTGCTCCTCAGGAAGTCACCTGCCCTTTCATGAGAGACGGCAGTGAAAACAAGGAATATTGTCTTCAGCTTTTTGTATTTGCTGAAAAGTAGAACGTTTTCTGGAATGGACAGCACCTCTGCCTCTAAGAATTTCTACCTAAATAGGAAGTTATTTTTATGAAAAATTAAGTGGGGAATTTCCAGCTACTGCCAGTGAAAACGAGGAATATTGTCTTCAGCTTTTTGTATTAGCTGAAAAGCAGAACGTTTTCTGGAATGGACAGCACCTCTTCCTCTAAGAACTTCTACCTAAATAGGAAGTTATTATTTTGTATGAAAAATTAAGTGGGGAATTTCCAGCTACCCTTACCACAGGGCTACCTCTCTAGGGTGTCATTACA